CCCAAAACTCGCTCATCTACAGTCAGGTCCATAAAATTGGGACATCGACACAATTCTAAAATTTTTGGCTCTATACACCACCACAATGGATTTGAAATGAAACAAACAAGATGTGCTTTAACTGCAGACTGTCAGCTTTAATTTGAGGGTATTTACATACAAATCAGGTGAACGGTGTAGGAATTACAACAATTTGCATATGTGCCTCCCACTTGTTAAGGGGCCAAAAGTAATGGGACAATTGGCTTCTCAGCTGTTCCATGGCCAGGTGTGTGTCATTCCCTCATTATCCCAATTACAATCAGCAGATAAAAGGTCCAGAGTTCATTTCAAGTGTGCTATTTGCATTTGGAATCTGTTGCTGTCAACTCTCAAGATGAGATCCAAAGAGCTGTTACTATCAGTGAAGCAAGCCATCTTTAGGCTGAACAAACCCATCAGAAAGATAGCAAAAACATTAGGCATGGACAAAACAACTGTTTGGAACATTCTTAAAAAGAAGGAACGCATCGGTGAGCTCAGCAACACCAAAAACCCGGAAGACCACGGGAAAACAACTGTGGTGGATGACCGAAGAATTCTTTCCCTGGTGAAGAAAACACCCTTCACAACAGTTGGCCAGATCAAGAACACTCTCCAGGAGGTAGGTGTATGTGTGTCAAAGTCAACAATCAAGAGAAGACTTCACCAGAGTGAATACAGAGGGTTCACTACAAGATGTAAACCATTGGTGAGCCTCAAAAACAGGAAGGCCAGATTAGAGTTTGCCAAACGACATCTAAAAAAGCCTTCACAGTTCTGGAACAACACCTATGGACAGATGAGACCAAGATCAACTTGTACCAGAGTGATGGGAAGAGAAGAGTATGGAGAAGGAAAGGAACTGCTCATGATCCTAAGCATACCACCTCATCAGTGAAGCATGGTGGTGGTAGTGGTCATGGCGTGGGCATGTATGGCTGCCAATGGAACTGGTTCTCTTGTATTTATTGATGATGTGACTGCTGACAAAAGCAGCAGGATGAATTCTGAAGTGTTTCGGGCAATATTTTCTGCTTATATTCAGCAAAAGCTTCAGAACTCATTGGACGCCGCTTCACAGTGCAGATGGACAATGACCCAAAGCAGACTACCAAAGAGTTTTTTAAGGGAAAGAAGTGGAATGTTATGCAATGGCCAAGTCAATCACCTGACCTGAATCCGATTGAGCATGCATTTCACTTGCTGAAGACAAAACTGAAGGGAAAATGCCCCAAGAACAAGCAGGAACTGAAGACAGTTGCAGTAGAGGCCTAGCAGAGCATCACCAGGGATGAAACCCAGCGTCTGGTGATGTCTATGCATTCCAGACTTCAGGCTGTAATTGACTGCAAAGGATTTGCAACCAAGTGTTAAAAAGTGAAAGTTTGATTTATGATATTCTGTCCCATTACTTTTGGTCCCTTAAAAAGTGGGAGGCACATATACAAACTGTTGTAATTCCTACATCGTTCCTGATTTGGATGTAAATACCCTCAACTTAAAGCTGACAGTCTGCAGTTAAAGCACATCTTGTTTGTTTCATTTCAAATCCATTGTGGTGGTGTATAGAGCCAAAAATGTTAGAATTGTGTCGATGTCCCAATATTTATGGACCTGACTGTATGTCTTTATGGACCTTGGTTTGTGCTCTGGTGCGCAGTCATGTTGGAACAGGCTGGGGCCACCCCCAAACTGTTCCCATAAACTTGGGTTCATGAAATTGTCCAAAATGTCTTGGTATGCCTTAAAAAGTATAAAAAATAATTAAAAAATGTAAAAAAAAAATGTAATTAAATTAAAAATGGAAACCTTTTTTAAGGGTTTTTTTTAACTACCTGCTGACTACCTGCCCGCAATGTGCAAACTGATGTACCCTTACATTGCTTTCTATTTTGCTTTCTATTTTCACTTTCTATAGTAATAGAGCATTGCATGGTCGTGCAATTACCAGTTGAAATAGCGCTGTGCTGAATTGCAAAAAAAAGGCCTGGTCAGGAAGGGGGTAAATCTTCCGGAGGGCAAGTGGTTAATGACCAGGCCATTTTTTGCTATTTGACACTGCGCTATTTCAACTGGTAATTGTGCGATCATACAGCGCTGTACCCAAACAAAGTTTATATCCTTTTTCACACATATAGAGCATTCTTTTGGTGGTATTTGATCCCCACTGGGTTTTTTTTTTTGAAATATAAATGAAAAAAGGCCAAAACTTTTGAAAAGAAAATGAATTTTTTTCTTTCGTTATACAAGATATCCAGTAAACGCAAAGTTAGTTATAAATTTAGGCCAAAATGTATTCTGCTACATGTCTTTGGTAAAAAAAACCCCAATAAGTGTATATTAGTTGGTTTGTGTGAATGTTATAACGTCTACAGACTATGATATATACAGTGTATTAGAATTTATGCAGCTTTTACTTTCTGACTGCTTATCACATTTCTTGAAGTGCTAAAATACCAGCGCTGTAGAAAAAACCCCCAAATGACCCCTTTTTAGAAAGTAGACACTCCAAGGAATTTGCTGAGAGGCATGTTGAGTCCATGGAAGATTTTATTTTTTGCCACAAATTTTTGGAAAACTACAAAAAAATTTTGTTTTTACACAAAGTTGTCATTTAAATGATATATTGCTCAAGCATGCCACTGATATATGTGGAATAACACCTCAAAATACATTCTGCTGCTTATCAAAGTATGGGGATACCACATTAGAGAGACTTTTTGGCAGCCTAGCTACATACAGACCCCGAAAATCCAATGACCACCTCCAAGCTTTCAAAAGGCATATTTCCACTTGTCACTTCCTCACTACCTATCACACTTTTGGGGGCACTAAAATGCCAGGATAGTACAAACACCTCCCCCCAAATTAACCCTTTTTTGGAAAGTAGACACCCCAAGGAATTTTATAAGAGGCGTGGCGATTATTTTTCAGATATCATTTTTGTCACAGGGTTTAAAAAAAAATATATATTTTTGTTTTATTTCTTAATTTTCCAAAAACTTGGCAACAAATGAGATCTGCAAAATACTCACCATTTGAAGAGGGGGTGCTTCTACTATTCTGGCATTTCAGGACCAACATTGGAAGCTTATTGCATGTACCACCCACTCTTTAAACCACTTTAAGATCAAGCCTTTTCTGACAATGTCTTTTTGCTAGATAATTAATTTGCACCCCCAAACAGTATATATTTTTTTAAAGCAAAAGCCCTAGAGAATAAAAAGGTGGGTGCTGAAATTTTTTATGTCACACAGTATTTGCACAGCATTTCTTCAAACACAATTTTATTAGAAAAAATACACTTTTCAGAATTTTAATGCACAAAAACACAATATATTACCCAGTTGTTTGATAAAATATAAAATATGATGTTATGCTGAATAACTGGATACCAAACATGATATGCTTTAAAATTGTGTATACCCGTGCAATGGCGACAAACTATGTACATTTTTAATATCCATGGGCGACACTTTAGAAGCCATTACAGGTCACCACACTAGGTTTACACAGGAGGTCTAGTGCTAGAATTACTTCCCTCGATCTGACGTTCGCAGTGATATGTCTCCTGCATGGTGCAATTTCTGTTTACATACCGACACGCGACCTCTGTTTGCGTTTGCCATTGTGCGTGACCACATGGATGAGAGTGAAATCTTTTTTTTCATTATTTATTTTGCTTTCTTTTATTTTTACACTGTGCCTTTAATTTTTTTTTAAATTCCTTTTTTTTTGTTATCACAGGGAATGTAAATATCCCCTGTGATAGCAATAGGCAGTGACAGGTACTCTTTTTTGAGAAATCTGGGCTCTATTAGACTGTGGATCTCTCCTCCACTCTTAAAGCATCTGATCACACCAAGATTGGTGTGATCAGATGCTTTCCCAATTTTAAAATGGCGCTGTTTATATCTGGCGAAACTGAAATGATGAAATGCTCATAGCTTTCGGTCTTGCTAGTGGCAGTAATACAGTGATCAGCAAAATATTCTATATACTGGCACTGTACTAATGGCACAGGCTGGGTGACGGGGCGAACAAAGGGCTAAATGTGCTAATCTAATGCGTGTGTGGAAAATGTAGTGCATTTATTCAGTGCCGTGTTCTCTCTTCTCCCCCTGGACCGGCATAGGCGGTAGCGGGGAGTGCATACATGCACACGCACACCCGGAAATAGTGACATTGTGGGCAGGCGGGTGGCAAAGAGTTGAAAAAATTCTCTCAATATTTTTTTAAACAGTTTTTTTTTTTTTACTGTTTAAAAAAAATACTTTAATCAGAGTAGTACAATGTTACCATAGTAACATTGTACTACTCTGTGGGGGAGGTGATCAGGGATTTTTTTTTTTACGCTTTGCTTTGCAGGAGAAATAAAGATTATTGCTCCTGCTATGCAATGTTTGCTTTGAACTGTCATGAATAGGTTAAGTTCATGACAGTTCAAAATACAATGATCTGTGATTGGCTCCAGCTGGTCACATGGTACAGAGTGCTGTGAGTGACCCCATGTACCACGTGAGATCTGTAGGCCAATCACAGCACTCCAGAAACAGAAGCAAAGCTGTTATTAAGCAGATTTATTCATAACAGCTTTGTTGTAATTGTGATCATGTGATCACAAAGCGATCACATGATCACTGGGTCCCGGTTATTGGGTTCATGTGGGGGGGAAGGGTTGCGTGCCCTCTCGGACATGCAGTGTCTTACTGTTTTGGTACAGCACCACCGATGTAGGGGTACGTCGCTGGTCCTGTAGCTGCCGCCCGTTCACAGTACATTGCGGGCGGACGGAAAGTGGTTAAATGTTGATATTATTATTCATTGTTATTGTATATTATTGTATGTTGTATTTTTACATTACTAGTGTTCTACCTTTTCAAATATACACTCCTGAAGAAACTATAAGCAAAACGTGTTGACCATTGAAGCTGGATAAGATGTGAACACATTTTATGTAGTCATGTATTATTTATATCCTGACCATTTGGAAACTCAGGCACTGCCCAAGGGCCCGGGTTCAGTAGGAGGCCCCATGAGATGCCCCTGGTACCTTTTTCATAGGCTTTTTTGCCTTGGGCAAGGACACAGGGGCCCCATTATCCCCTATTGCCTGGGGGCCCCATGAGTTGTCAGTCCGCCCCTGATCCTGAGGGAGGTTGTATATATTTAGGGGAATCCCCCATGATCTTTTAACATGACATACAATATGTCTACGGTGTACATTTTATTATTTGTTAAAATAAAGTATGTGTATTTTATAATAATAATGCGTGGTCTCATGTGGTGCGTATAAAGTCTGCTCTCATACTGTCTACTTTTTCTAGCGGTTCTTTTTTCTAGTGATGGACTTTATTGTAAAAAGACTGAACACTGTTTGGGGTTAGTGGCAGGGAGTGGTGAAAAATCATTCCTCTGACTGACTCAGAAGTCAAAATTCAGCTTGTGCCAAAAATGAAGTCTGCAAAATCTGCCTTTTTAAATAATAAAAAATGCTTGTAAACATTCAAAAAGAAGCCTGGAGCATATGCAGTATTTCATATTTGCCTAATTAAATTTGTTTTTTAAAATTTATTTTATTTCTGAAAATAATACAAAAGAAAAACAAAATGATACATTAAATCAGTATGCATTCCCTTTGCATTGGTTAGCAGATCTCACTTTTGCAAAATAAGACTAGCTAACTGCAGGAGGCAGCACTGTAAGAAAACCTGCTGAGCGGCTACATATTGGCAGAACACAAATGTGTTAAGGGTCTGTTAAGAACACATAATATTTTATTATATAGGGCTGTGTGTTATTACACTTCCTGACACTTCTTTTCTATATAAAACATAATGAAGTTTGTCTAATAACTGCATTTGGTATTTACACGTCACAGTTCAAAAAAAAAATGTTATGTGGGACTTTACATCTTTTTTTAAACAGGGGAAAGACACAGCATATCTTATTATGACATGTGACATGAAGAAATGTAGGAGGATCTTTGCAAGTGCCCAACATTCAACAGTATATTTTGGAGTGTGTAGGAGGGCATGAAGAAAACAAGGTCAGAACTAAACGTTTCCTTTACATACAATATGCAGTAGAAACAGTTTGAAAGACATACATTATGCACATATTGTAACTGCACTCTGCTGCAACACGCTTCTTTTTATTCAAGGAAAACCAAACATGATATTTCTTTATTCTCCATGGATATGGGGGATTACCTGCCCCAAAATAACTGTGTTGTGAATGCTTGCTATATGGGACTAGACAGAGAAATTCTTTATTTCCTCTTGTGTCTTATATGTTTCGCTGCCTACTCACATCGTGTCTTTGCAGTAATGTCTCTGTATCTGAGACATCAAAAACTACCTTTTTTACACTTCCTGGGGGAATTTCAGCTTCCTCCTATTAAACATGAATAATAAAATCCAAAGCTTTCATCCTAATGGGGTTAGAAGGAGGCGTAGGCTTTTTTATAGCTCTTCAGATGATCCAAAAGCAGATGAAAACCTCACAAAATTAGGAAAGAGGACGATTCAAACTGGAGCGCTTTAGAACAGTTGTGGAGCAACTCAAAGATTCTGTCCTGCTGGTAGTGGTTTTAGCTTAATTAAATGTGAAGCCCCTCTTGGAATCTAAATGATCCAATGAGCACTGATGAGGAGTTGAACAGAGGGATTCTGGGGAATCTTAATTGTATTGTTTAATATGATACGTTGTCAGCTTAGAATTTTAATGCTCAATCATACATATGTGTATGTACATGTATAGTGACATATACTGTACATCACATTTATATGTAAATATTTTAGCAAAAAACAATACTTGCAGAAACAGATACTCTTCACTATCCCCACAATTGGAGTGGCTATACAAATTTATATTTAAAGCTTTATTTTCATATCCAGCTTGCATTATATGAAAAGTTATAATAAAGTCCCTAAAGAGTACTATTTCTCTGATTACAATAACTGTTTATCATTCCAGTGCCTGATTTCATTATCGTCCATACAAGAGCAAAAGCAAAGGCTTTAACTTTCATTGGTTCAGACATATCCTGTCTGCAGGATTAAAGAGTAAGGAAGTCCGCGGGAGCCCTGAGGAGCATGTTGTGTGGTGACATAGATTGACGGTTATGACACAATTGAGACTATTCAAAGCAAGCTGAAAGGGGGTCATAAAAGTGTGTCAGGAGTCTGGATAGGGGTGGCAGGTTCCCTTGGGTTAAAGTATGAGAAAGAGTGTTCCTAGTCTATGAAAGAAAACGAGAGACGTAGCGTTGGAAGAAATGCACTATACCCAAATGGTGGCATCAAAGGACTAGGTCTGGAGGACAATCCTGTGTTCAGTTACACATCCCACATATGTAGAGTATGCTGTACGAGGATGGGTAGATATTCCATGGGCGGTCTTATCTTAGACGGGGTCCACAGTAGGGATGTGATATCTAGAACAAGAAGACTGTCTTCAAGGACAGTACATAGTTTGGTAAGCTTACCATGGGACCAGTCCAAATTTTATGTAAATAATATCTGATAATCCTACCATGAAGGTCCCTTTTTTAGGCATTTCCTGTAATAGATTGAAAACACTCTGCCTCTGGCCCTTAGTTTGCTTCTGGCTCCTGCATTGTCACCCTGTCATATGCATTTCCAGTGGAGACTATAAGAAACCTTACAGACAGGGGCGGACTGACCATTCGAGAACTTGGGCACTGCCTGAGGACCTGGGGTCAGTAGGGGGCCCCATGAAATGCCCCTGGTACCTTTTATAGGCTTTTTTTGAGTGTGGGCAAGGACACAGGGGCCCCATGATCCCCTATTGCCCGGGGGCCCCATGAGTTGTCAGTCCGCCCCTGCTTACAGACACACAATGTGCAAGAATTGTCTATCACTGTCACCATCAGGAAATTTGCCCCAAGAAATGCCATGCAGTCACCTCCGAAGCTAGTACATATAGATCCTAAATTGCTGCGCACTAATATGTGGCATTGATGTGCACTGGTAGGCAATGATATGTGGCATTGATGTAGCACCAGGGGCGGACTGACCATTTGGAAACTCGGGCACTGCCCCGAGGTCCTGGGGTCAGTAGGGGGCCCCATGAGATGCCCCTGGTGCCTTTTTCATAGGCTTTTTAGAGTGTGGGCAAGGACACAGGGGCCCCATGATCCCCTTTAGCCTGGGGGCCCCATGAGTTGTCAGTCCGCCCCTGCTTACAGACACACAATGTGCAAGAATTGTCTATCACTGTCACCATCAGGAAATTTGCCCCAAGAAATGCCATGCAGTCACCTCCGAAGCTAGTACATATAGATCCTACATTGCTGAAGAGGCTGCATGAGGTTAGCTAAAGATTCAAAACAGAATGAAAAAAAGTGAAAATAGGATTTTCAATAAAAAAGAAAAAGGACAAGTATTTATGATATACAGTGCTTTTGCAAAATACATGTCATCCAGTTAGGGTTTACATCTACTTTAAAGCTCCGTGTGCAGTTTTATAAAGCACAATTTGATGCTTTATAAATAGGGCAAAACAAAGAGAGAATGCTTTGCAGATGGCACTTCACATCTCAATACAAGCTGAAAAGTGCACAAAGAGTGTGCAATGCGAGTAGAGATCACAGCATTGGATATGCTTTTACTTATTGTATGTAAAAGTAAACATAGCAAATTGGCCTTTAGGTCTACTCTCTCTTTTAGTTCCTTTTCCCTATTCTATCTTCTCTGTAATATGGCACAGGACAACTTTACTTGCAGGGACGATGGATGAAGCACAGGCAAGTGAAAGTAAACCCTTCTATCCGCCAAGGATGGTGCAGTCGTAGTCTCTATTTAGATATGTAGTTACCTTGATGATGTCCATTTGACCATCTATGACACCAGCTGTATTTGAGGGTTTGAAGGACCAGTTGACGATTGACATAAGGACATTGGCAACTATGACAAGTGTCTCTATAGGTATGCCTTAAATATCATTGTATGTGTCTTCTACAATAAAACTCCTTCCTGCTGAAGAGTTTTTCAATTTAGGGCAAAGTTGTACTTTACATTGGTGGCTCTATTTCTGCTCTAAAGAACTTTTTACCACTGCTACATTCTTTTTTTTTTTTGGAGTGGGGAGTTTTAAAGTTTCTGAAGATAAAGGGTGTTCCTCCTTAACCTCTAACTGAAAGGGTATTGGGATTGATTACCTTTACCTCCTTAATACTGCTGTATTGTAAATAAAATATGTAGAGAGATCATTATGTATTTCTAGAGTGCCATTTATAAGAGATGTTTTAGGAAACCCACTCCAGTAGTCAGTGCACCCGTGAATAACTGCAATCTGACCAGTTATGGATAGCTCAGACCACACTTGAGATGTGCAGAGCCAATGAGAGTGATTCTGTACTATGTGATCACTGTGTACCAATCCCAGGCATCACACTTGCAAACAATAGTAGATTTTCCAAACATTCAGCCCATTTACAACAGAGGAAGCACCCCTTCTCCTGCTGTGAATAGAAACACAGCTGGAAGGAGAATTGTGGCAGGTAAAAGTAGTGGTGTGGTGGTGAGGGGGTGTTAATGTGCCACTGGCAACCAACAATTGGGTCATTTTAAAGGTGGCACCGGGGATTTTTAAAGTGCCCGTGAGCACCAATGATTGCGGGATTTTAAGGTGGAGGAGGTTTAAAGTGCCATGGACAACCAATCATGGTGAGATTTTTTCTAAAGGTGGTGGTGGATGGGGGGGGGGGTGCTAATTTGCCACTGACCCCTAATGACTGGAATTTTTTTTGAAGGTCTATGGGGATTAAAGTACCATTGACCATTGATGATGGTGGGTAGAGATATGAAAGGTAAATGTAAGCAAAATGTTTGGTCTTTTTTAACTGGTATTTAAAACCCAGTGGTCAATACATGCCATCGTAAGGAAACACTATCAATCTCATTGTACTTGGTACAGTGTTGCATGACAGAGCAATTGTCAGTCAAGCCATCACATCACTGAAAAATGGCTTGGTAATAAGGGAGTATATAGAACAACTTGATAGGTATAAAATAAATGTATACTACAGTATGTTTTTGCTGGAAGCATAGATGGTGCGTCTTTGCACCATGCAGTGATCTTGAAGGGTTCCATGCTTCCTTCTCAGGGTACACAGATTCTCTGGACAGGGAGAACCTGGACTAGCCCCCACATATAGCACTACCCCCTTAGGAGTCGCTGAGTTACTGTCAGACTCCCTGTCATTGTGGACCACTTTCTGAAAGCCCAACCCCTGCTGACACCACAGTACTCCTCTGACCAGAGTAAATTACCACCAGAAAGTAGACTCACACACAGATTGGAGTAAACGGATATCATGTTTATATTACACTTCATTGTAAGCTTGGCTAAACAGCCCAAAGTAGTATAGATGTATGTAATGGCAATTGTCACTCTTAGCAACTCTAAGCAAAGAAACAAAACATAAAGCAGAATATCAATTAGTGTTAGCAGTCCTGCTTTTCAGAAGTTAACCCAATACCTCCAACCTGAGGTATTTCTAGACCCCAGTGAGCAAGGAAAACTATCAAAGGTTGAACTAGCTCACTTTGGGCCCTCAGAATCTGATGGCAAGGTTTAAATCTGAAATAGAAAGAGCTCTTTTCCTAGGGTAGTCAACAGCCCTTTAAATGCAGTGAGGAATCTTCTGCACGCTCATTGGGGCCCAGTTGGTTCACTATAATGATCCAGACCTTTTAAGGGGGAAGAGCTGAAAGTGAAAGTCCCTCCAAAGATTAATACAAGGAAAAGAAGAAGTAAGGACAAGTACTATCCCTTTAAGTGGCACTTGAATTTGGTGGTGTCTCTTTAATGCACTGAGCAAGTTGCACATTTTAGGCAAAAAGTTGTCAGAAGTTGTCAGAAATGCTTGCTAGCAAATGGCAACTACTTTTTTTGGGCTGTAGTAACTAATGGCAATGATAGTAGAGGTTCCTTTAAGAGGGTAGGCCGATGATTAAGAGAATACTGGTGTGGTTTGGCCTGCAGAAGGCATGCACTGTGGTCAGCTTTGACGATTGGACTGTGCTACAAATATGTTAAATAGTAGCAGCCAGGGGAACTAGGCCAAAACATTTGTTAACTACACTCACCAGCCAGTTTTATTAGGTACACCTTGTTAGTGCCAATAAAATATCCCCCACACCATTACACCACCACCACCAGCCTGAATCGTTAAAACAAGGTAGGATGGATCCATGCTTTCATGTTGTTTATGCCAAATTCTGACACCACCATCTGAATGTTGCAGCTGAAATCGAAAGTCCATTCTCCTCTGACCTCAACTTGGCATTTTAATCCACACAACTGCCACTCACTGGATATTTTCTCTTTTTCTCTGTAAACCCTTTAGATGGTTGTGCATGAAAATCCCAGTAGATCAGCAGTGTTTGAAAGAAACAGACCAGCCTGTCTGGCACCAATAACCATGCCACGTTCAAAGTCACTTAAATCCCTTTTCTTCCTCATTCTCATGCTTAGTTTTAACTTCAGCAATTATCTTCACCACACCTAGATGCACATATGCATTGAGTTGCAGCCATGTGATTGGCTGATTAGCAATTTGTGTTACCAAGTAATTAAGCAGATGCACCCAATAAAGTGGCCAGTGAGTGTATATGCAATGTCCGCAACTGTGTGCAGGAAAGTGGCAGATATGAGAATGTCAGTGTTCACTTGTTTGGCTGGTGTATAGGACTCTCTCACATGGATGGCAATCCAAGGGGGGTTGCCTCTCAGGACATTTATGCATGCCAGGAACCTGAGCAGATACAGACACTGCCCCTTCTGCATCATCCATGAGGAAACGTCTCACCACGTTTTCTGGGAGTGCTCATTTGCTCAGGCCCTGTTGGGGGTCCTGGAACCTGAACTCAAGGACTTTGTACCACAGACAGCCATCACTTACTTTGGGGTGTTGAATGGACTATTCTGTGGGACTTTTTCTCTGGAGGACATTGACGGCGCCTGGCGGGTGCTGTGTTGTTTTAAGGACGCTCCATGGTGCGCCAGAAAGCGCCTCATCCACCAGCGGGAGAGGATGTCCATTGAGGACTGCCGCAGACTGATCCTCAGTCTGCTCAGAGACTATTCCTTGATGGACTTTAAGGAGGAAGAGGACATCTGAAGATTTCCCCTTCCCCCTACCCCCCCCCCCCCCTTGCGTGTCTTTGTCCCTTCAATAAAGCTTCGGGCCTGTGTTTTCCCCCTTTCTTCCCCTCCCCCCCCACACACCCGATGCTTATTGTAGATTGTAACTTTCGGTTTTTCGTTTTCTGCATGACATCGTGACATTAGGAAAAGTATTGTGTATTAGGATGCTATGGTTTTTGGGGTAAGCGGCGTTATGCATGACGTGTTGGTCCGGGGGATTCATCCTCCACGCACATCACGTCAGGCATCATACCGCTGAGCGAATGTATTTATTTCTGAATGTATTTATCGTATGCTTGGAACTGTATTGCAATGTGGTGCGCTGCGTCGCAGTACAGGGTGAGATGTACCCCGATTACAAGTATCATGTTGTTTTTGATGCTTCTGTAATAAAAGTATCTTTTCAATCAAAAATAGGACTCTCTCACCCAATTGGTGGCTTCCAGGAGGTCCTCACATTCTGTCTTCCTCAGCAGATAGGGGCCCCCACAGGTTCTCCTGTCTCTCTTGAAGCGTTCCGTCCAGTCACCGCGCTCTGGGTCACCTGCTGGCAGACCGTCAGCACAACATTCTCTCTACTTCTGCTCTCATGCTCTCTCCCCTCTCACTTACTGTCCAGTCTCCATGGCTTTTATATATATAAATGTCCCCTGCCCAAATACCAGCTCCTCTGGTAAATGTAGTCCTCTGGTACGCTGCTCTCCAGCAAAGTCCTGCAGTTCAGTATACAAGGTCCATGGGGATGTTCTACAGAGTGTGAGTGCCACTGAATTGCAGGACACAGCCATCTTGTGTCTCCCTCAACATTCTTAAACTTGCATTATAGCAAGGTGTTACACATTCCCCCCACTTGAAGTCTTTGGTCCCCCAAAGAACAAAAAGACGAACTGATAACATTTGACATAACATATATACATTAAGCAAGGAAAAAAAACTCACCTTAATCAGGAGAAACAACAATTGGAAGGTGTTCATTATTAATTAACTTCTTCAGAAAAGACTCCCATCAAGGATTAGGAGATCAAGAGGTAAGGTCATGGGTTTGAAGACCTCCTCAGGAATGGTGTCAGCAGGGGGGCTTACAGATTCTTGAATTTTCTCCAATAGACTGCAAATGGGAGCTTCTAAAATTCTTTGGCTAGCATGGAAGGCTTCCTCAGAGCTCTCACCCAAAACATCATAAGTCAATCTCTTGGGTGTGCTTATCTCCCTTCTTTCCCTTGGCTCCTCTTGAGTGGTGACACTATCTCCTTCCAGATAAAAATGGTTGCCAGTCTATTCCCATTTCCACCCCTTTTTCCTTGTCAGTCCCCTCCTCCTCTAGGGCTGCGGTGGATTTAGAAGGGGATGGGGGAGGCTTGTGTGGCTGAGTGGGAAGATTGGGACTTGCTCAGACAAGTGCAGAAGATGGTTTCTGGTACCAAGATTTCACTGGACCTTTCTTCCCTTCTGGGTGGATCTGATAAACAGGCAGGTCTGGCAGCTTCCGATAGATGACATATGGTTGAGATTTCCAGCGGGCTGTGATTTTATGTTTTCCAGGAACTAAAAATTTCTTTGCAGTACTCGCTTGGCTGCAAATCCTGCAGTTTCACCTTGGAATCATGATGCCACTTGTTCCTCTCCCCTGCGGATTGGGAACCCTGCTTAGCTTTCTCATAAGCAGTCTCTAACTAGTGTTTCAGCCTTTCTACATACCCCTGATGTGATGAGGGGGTAAGGTGAACAGGAGCTGTGCCCACCCAATCCTCAGTTCCAATCTATCCCACTACCTATGGATAACTTTGGAATGGGGGATCTTCCACTCAAAGTAGGTCGGGTTGCATCTCCAAAAGGGTTCTTCTTGTTAATTGGCATAGTGGGTCTCGATTCTGAGCTTCCTGCATGTCTTGCTAGTGGAAAGCTGTGGTAACCCTTCAGCTGAGACACATTTACAGTATGATGGGCACCTCAAGCTCCCACCACCGCAGCATAGGTCACTCCTTTGGCCACATACTCAACTTCCTGACTCATGGCCTGTACCTCTTCTGGCCATACTTGCAACCAGCTTGGTTCAGTGGCAAAGCAGCCATGATAGGGCATTCACATCTTTATTCCCTATTCCAGGTTGGTATTTCAGGCTGAATCAGAATCCAGACAGAACAGCCAGCCATCGATGTCCAGTGGCATCTAACATAGCTGTGGTGAGTACATAGGTCAGTGGATTTTTGTAAAGATAATCCTTCAGTTTATCCACCACAACCCACTTCAAAGCAAGGAATTCCAGCTTATGTGTTGGGCAACTCCTTTCAGCGAGGGAGAGGCTCCAGCTCACAAATGCTATGGGTCGTAGCAACTCAGCGTGCTCCTGGTACAGGACTGCCCCAAGCCCCTCTCGGCTGGCATCTACATGGAGGTCGTGTGGCTTGGAGGGGTCTGCGTAAGCCAACACTGGAATTTTTGTTAAACACTGCTTTAGCTTGATAAAAGCCTGCTGTATCTGCCCAGTCCACTGGCCACTGATGGGTTCACAAGGTCTTCAAGTCCCGTTTTGGGCTCTTGCTCAGTCCTAAGTCTCTCCCTCCATATTCTTCAAAAGGCCAGTGAGAGGTGCGGCGGTCTTAGCAAATCCCTCCACAAACCTTAATAATAACCGCAATAATATGTATGTTCAGAATCCGAGGAATGACCTCAATTCAGTGATGTTGTTAGGTTGGGGCTAGGTAGTCATAGCTTCAATCTTGCTGAAGACAGTAGCCACACCTTCTGCAGAGACTACATGCCCCAGGTAAGTAACGGAATTCTGTAGAGTTGACACTTCTCCAGGGACAGTGTCAGGCATTCCTCATGGAGTCTTTGGAACATATTCTTCATATTCTTCCAAGGTTCCCCTGAACACAATTATATCGTCCAGGTAGACCAGGACCTAAATTTGATTCATATTTCCTACGGCACATTCCATTAGCCTCTGGAAAGTGCCGGGTGCTCTGGTTAGGTCCTGTGGCATACGATTAAGAGCCCAGTGTGCTGATGATGGCGGTATTCTCTCTGTCTTTAGGGTGCATAGGGATTTGATAGTATCCACTCTTCAGATCCAGCACACTAAACCATTTGGCTCCTAACAGGCACTGCAATGTATCTTCAATCCATGGAGTTGTGTATTGATCTGGAATGGTCCGTTTGTTTAGTGTTATGTAGTCAATGCACAGTGCACAGGGTACCATCCTTCTTACGTACCACTATGATAGTGAAGGCATCGGGACTCCTGGACCATTGGATGATCCCAGCCCTCTTCAACTCTGCCAACTGTTCTCTGAGGTCTCCCAGGTCCCTCAAAGGGACCTGTCAGGCCCACTCCCAAAAAAGCTTGTTTTCTTTAAGCAAAATTCGAAGCTGAGCACTCTTGGCGCATCCAACACCATAGTTGTTCCTGGTAAACACTCTTTCCCAGCTTGTCAGCCTATCTCTTGCTCTGTGCTTCCACTTCTCTGACAGAGGGGAGTCTTGAAGGCTGACCCCCCCCCCAACGGAGTTGTCTGGTGACTCGGGTGTACTGACTGGGGTGGCTATATTCACTTGCCGAAGCAGAGTCCTGGGTTTTAGGGTTATGGGGTCTGCTGTGTTGTTACAAACTCAAACAAAAACATTACCCCTGTTGTGCTGCAGAGCCTTCATAGTGATCACTTCTGGAATTACCTCTACCTCATCTGTCCCTCCTTTGTTCTCCATTTCCAGCACCACAAATGGCCCTGGCTGATCCCAGCTCAATTTGACTCAGGCTTTCAAACAGGTGACCCTTGGCTGGAGCACTTTCTCTTCAGTCCTATTCTTCCAAACCTTCCCCACTTCTTCTTCTGGAGCCCTTAACTCTCTGACAACTCTTTGATAGACTTGGTGCAGTTGTGGGTGGATGCTGTCTATGGGTATCATGTTCTGCTCGGCTAGTGGAGTAAAGAGCCTGTGTACTAGGTTGGTATTGGTCCCTATTAGTAGGGAGCACTGCTCTATCTCCGAAGGCCTAGGGCAGACTAATGCCAGAGTATCAAAGTCACTGTTCTCCCTGTTAAGGTTGGGCTGAAAATGGGCGGATAGGTATGTAGCTGTCATAAGGGCATTTCTGGGTCCCGATTCCCCAAATCTCTAACTCTTCTAGATTCCATAGGGATATGTGCTTTAAGTGCTTGTTGTAGAAGTTTTGATGTAGACTCCCTCCACTTGAATGGAGACTACTGAGGATGGTCCTACTAGCTCATCTGGAAGTCTCTAGGGTTGGGGATTTGCGCTTCTGATCTGGGTTTTTCCAAGTTGAGCTGCTCGCTTCTTAGGTGTTGGCTTTTCCAGTTTTCTGGAGTGGTGTGTATCATTTCCCTGTGTTAGATTCCCAGTCAATGGAGTTGGAAGTTGAATTGGCTCTAGGGGTCAATTAATAGCGGCTGTCTGTGTGGTTTTAGACTTTAAGGTCTGTGTTCCCTGAGAATTGGAGCTTACAGTTTTCTTTGGGTCCTCAGCTGGCTCCTTAACCACTTAAGTCCGGACACTTTTACCCCCTTCCTGTCCAGGCCAATTTTCAGCTTTCAGTGCTATCACACTTTGCATGACAATTGCGCGGTCATGCAACACTGTACCCATATGAGTTTTTTTTTTGGCATTATTTTGAGACAGATAAAACTTTATTTTGGTGGTATTTATTCACCACTGTGATTTTAGTTTTTTTGCTATATAAATGAAAAAGTCCAAACATTTTGAAAAAAGCGTTTTTCTTATAAAAGTTTGCAAATAAATAATCTTTCTACATAAATCTTGGCCAAAATGTATTCAGTTATCTTTTTAGTAAAAAAAAAAAATAACCCAAATTAGTTTATAACCAAAAATTATAATTTAAAAAAAATTTGTTTACATTTTTATTTTATATTTTTATATTATTATTTATGTTTTTTTTTAAACATACTGTCACCCTAGCAATACAGTGTACACTGATTGCTTTTACACTCATAAAGGCTGTAAAAGCAATCATTTCTCATTCACTGACTGCAGTCTTGCAGCCATTGAGAAATGGTGTGAGAGCTGTGATTGGCCACAGCTTGTCACATGGTACAAAGTTGTTGTGAATAGCCTTGTACCATGTGACCTCTGTGATCATTCACAGATTTCACTAATAGTAAGCAATGATGTCAGCAAGTGACACCTTGCTTACTACTATTCATGTGATCACTGATTGGCCAATCAGTGATCACATGATCGGGACCTCACACAGAGGTCCCGTACAGTGATCGGTGTTCCGCTGTGCCTAGAGGACAAGCATAAACGGCAGCATAAATGGAAACCCGCTCCTGAACTGTTCCCATCCAGCCATTTATGTACATGGGCCGGATGGGAAGTGGTTAACTGAGGCCCCCGGAAGTTTTCTTTCTACATAAATCTTGGCCAAAATGTATTCAGTTATCTTTTTAGTAAAAAAAAAAATAACCCAAATTAGTTTATAACCAAAAATTATAATTTAAAAAAAATTTGTTTACATTTTTATTTTATATTTTTATATTAATATTTATGTTTTTTTTTAAACATACTGTCACCCTAGCAATACAGTGTACACTGATTGCTTTTACACTCATAAAGGCTGTAAAAGCAATCATTTCTCATTCACTGACTGCAATCTTGCAGCCATTGAGAAATGGTGTGAGAGCTGTGATTGGCCACAGCTTGTCACATGGTACAAAGTTGTTGTGAATAGCCTTGTACCATGTGACCTCTGTGATCATTCACAGATTTCACTAATAGTAAGCAATGATGTCAGCAAGTGACATCTTGCTTACTACTATTCATGTGATCACTGATTGGCCAATCAGTGATCACATGATCGGGACCTCACACAGAGGTCCCGTACAGTGATCGGTGTTCCGCTGTGCCTAGAGGACAAGCATAAATGGCAGCATAAATGGAAACCCGCTCCTGAACTGTTCCCATCCAGCCATTTATGTACATGGGCCGGATGGGAAGTGGTTAACTGAGGCCCCCGGAAGTTTTCCGCCATCTTTGGGAAGAATAATTTCTTTATTGCTTGTACTACTTCAGTCGTAAGGTCGGCCATTAGCTCCGTCTGTGGGCATTGGGCCCGCAGGTGTCCCGGTTCTCCACACTGGAAACAACATCTGAGGTACCCAGGGCTGGATTTCCCCCAACTGCCATTGCTGACAGCATTTGTCCCATTTCCGACATGGCCTTCTGCATAGCAACATGAGCCTCCATGACTTGACCTACTGTCTTTTGAACCTTGCAAAAAGGACTGTTGAATCATGGCTTGGGCTTGAGCCAACTGGGACAGGGTCTGCACTATGCCATCCATTAAAGCTATGGCCTTCGCCTGGGGCACTCCCTCCATGGTTGGAATGGCTTGAGTGACACAAGAGGAAGCCCTGGGATTGGTTCCACCCTGAACTTCTGCCTTCTTTTCCTGGCCTTGGCTGCCATCAAGGCTTCTTGTGCCAAAGGGGTGGCTGACCCTGAGCTTCTGTGCAATTGGATCAAACAAATAAGGCAGTTCTGTACAGTTCATGACTCACCCAAAAACTTCCCACAGGGCTTCAGGGACACCCATGGGTGGTACAGCCTGGCTTATCCTGTTTTAGATTTTGCACAATGTCAGAGGCGGGAGCTCATAAGCTCTCCACTACCCTCTGTCTCTTCACAGCATCTGCCGCTTCCAACTCCTCTGTGGCCTGGAGGGCTTGATCAACCCAAGTGTCAAAGTCATCTTCCCCCAGGGGAGTAGGGGCCTTACTAGAAAAGAACCTTAGTCTTCAGTAGTTATGACTGGTGACAGAAGTAGAGTTCTTCAGTAGAGTATCTATAAACATATAGTTTGGCCAGTGAAGTAGCGGGTATACCCTTCACAGTGTCTGCTGAAATAGACAGCTCGGGTTCAGGGATTCCTTTCCTCAAACTCTCTGTGCCATCGTCAGTGGAGCTCGTTCATAACAACTGTGCCATCACTGTGTCAGACAATTGTATACTCTCTTCTTCGCACAAGGGAGGAATTCCTTTTTCAAATTCAGTCAGTACCAACACATTGGGTACATGTGGATTACTTCCGATGTCGAGGACACTCAAACTCTGGTCAGGGATGCACGCTATCAACATCTGCTCGACTTGCTCTTCAATCCAGTTATCCCCAAGAAGGCTCAGCACCACACACCGCTCTGGCCTTCCATTTTCCTCTTGGCACCATGCAGTGATCTTAGAGGGTTCCATGCTTCCTTCTCAGGGTACACAGTTTCTCTGGACAGGGATATCCCGGACTAGCCCCCACATATAGCACTACCCCCTTAGGAGTCACTAAGTTATTTTTGGGCTCCCTGTTGTTCTGGGCCCTTTTCTGAAAGCCCAACCCCTGCTGACACCACAGTACTCCTCTGACCAGAGTAAATTACTACCAGAAAGTAGACTCACACACAGATTGGAGTAAACTGATATAATGTTTATATTAAAATTCAATGTAAGCTTGGTTAAACAGCACAAAGTAGTATAGGTTTATGTAATGGCAATTGTCACTCTTATCAGCTCTAATCAAACACATAAAGCAGAATATTAATTAGTGCTAGCGGGCCTGTCTTTCAGAATTTAACCCAATACCTCCAACCTGAGGTGTTTCTAGTCCCCAGTGAGCAAAGAAAACTATCAATGGTTGAACTAGCTCACTTTGGACCTTCAGAATCTAATGGCAAGGTTTAAATCTGAGATAGGAAAGAGCTCTTTACCTATTTACCTAGGACCTAACAGCCCTTTAAATACAGTGAGGAATCCTCTGCATGCTCATTGGGGCCCAGTTAGTGCACTATAATGATCCAGACCTTTTAAAGGGGAAGAGATGAAAATAACATTTCCTCCAAGGATCAATGCAAGTAAAAGAAGCCATGAGGACAAGTACTATCCCTTTAAGTGGCACTTGACTTGGGTGGTGTCCCTTTAATGCACCGAGCAAGTTACAAATTTTAGGCAAAAAGGTGTCATAGGTTGGTGGAAGCGCCTGCTGTCAAATGCCAACTGATTTCTGGGCTGTAGTAACTAATGGCAATGATAGTAGAGGTTCCTTTAAGACGGTAGGCTGATGGTTAAGGGAACACTGATGTGATTTTGCCTGCAGAAGGTGTGCACTGTGGTCAGGTCTGACTATTGGACTGTGCTACAAATGTGCAAGATGTGAGAAGAATGTCAGTGTTCACTTGTTTGGTTGGTGTATGGGACTCTCTCACCTGATCGGTGGCTTCCAGATGGTCCTGGCAGTCTCTCTCCCTCAGCTGATGGGGGCCCCCACAGGTTCTCCGGTCTCACTTGCAGTGATGCGTCCGGTCACCGGACTCTGGGTCACCTGCTGGCAGACTGTCTCACTGAACAGGGTGGGAAGGCTAGTGGTCAGCGATTCCTCCTTGCCTCACTCCTCTCTAGCTCTACGGTCAGGTCTGGTTCTCCGGCAGTCAGCACAACTGTCTCTCTACTTCTGCTCTCAAGCTCTCTTCCCTTTCACCTACTGTCCAATCTCCTGGACTTCTGTATATAAATGCCTCTGCCCACACACCTCTGGGATTTGTAGTCCTTTGGTACACTGCTCTCCAGCAAAGTCCAGCGGTTCAGCATGCAATGTCCATGAAACTGTTATAGAGTGAGTGCCACTGAATTACAGGACACTGCCATCTTGTGTCTCTCTCAACATCCTGCAACTTGAATCACAGCAGGGTGTTACATATGTATCATGGAAACCAGATCCATGCATATGTTATAAAACCTGAAATAAGCATTAATAGAAAAACTTTGATGTTGCCTGGTTTAGCTTGAGTCTTGAATATTCCTAAGTGGCTTAACTAGGATGACTCTGCAGCTTAAAGCAGGATGAGACAAAACACCAATATATAAAAAACAGCAATTTTCCGTTTGTTGACATCAGACATGGAAGGAGGCTTGACTCTTTACTGTATCTCTGTTCTTACATTTGTAGATTATGTGGACAATTTTCAGTGTTTCATAGGATAGTTTTCCTCCTTTTGCCTTTCTTTCCGTTCACTTTCCTTCCTTTCCCTCTCTTTTGCTTTCCAGTCCATTACCCTCTTATTTCCCTTCTCTTTCCTTTCCTTCCTTTCCCTTTTTATTCTTTTTCTTTTCACTTTCCCCCTTTTCCCTATTCCATTTTTATTCCCTTACTTTTCCCTTGCCTTTCCTTTTCCTACCTTTTCCTTCCCTTCCATCGCTTTCTTTTTTTTTTCTTTTATTTAACATCCCCTTTTCCTTCTGAATCAGCATAAATTATTATGCTATTAACACAATACCATATAAACACAGTGTATACTTAATAAAATAAATAAAACATGCTGACAACTTCTGGTAGTTATCAGTGTGATATCAGCAGAAAACATACTTTTATTATTCCTTGAAAAGGAGATGAGCGAAAACAAGACACAATTCAACAAAATGATTATTAAATTATAGTACTGTATACATTATAAGGGCAAAGATTTGTTCTATGAATTCCAGATGTGACTTTTACAGCATAGTTACGTTGGTCCAGCTTGGAACAATGAAATTATATATTGCTTTTGCATACTATATTTATCACACTTAAATGATTTAGATCATCAAACAAATTTTATTATTATACAAAGATAACCTGAGTAAAATATAAAATGCAGTTTTTAAATGATGATTTAATTTATTAAGGGAAAACAGCTGTCCAAACCTGCCTGGCCCTATGTGAAAAAGTAATTGCCCCCTAAACCTCCTGCTACATAACCCAAGTGCGCTTGAACTTGAGGTCACAAACTGATGGTCAGACATTCTCCTTCAGGATTTTCTAGTAGTGCGCAGAATTTATGGTTCCATCAATTATGCAAAGCAGCCCCAGACCATCACACTACCACCACCATGTTTCACTGTTGGTATGATGCTCTTTTTGAAATGCTGTGTTAGTTTTATGCCAAATGTAACAGGACACACACCTTCCACCAAAAGGTTCAACTTTTGTCTCTTCAGTCTACAGAATGTCCAAAAGACTAGGGGATAATCAAGATGTTTTTGGGCAAATTTGATATGAGCCTTTGTGTTCTTTTTGGTGAACAGTGGTTTTCACCTTGGAACTCTCCATGGATGCCATTTTTGACCAGTTTCTTTCTTATTGTTGAATTATGAAAACAGGGGCGGACTGACCATTTGGAAACTCAGGCACTGCCTGAGGGGCCGGGGTCAGTAGGGGGCCCCATGAGATGCCCCTGGTAACTTTTTCATAGGCTTTTTTGAGTTTGGGCAAGGACACAGGGGCCCCATGATCCCCTATTGCCCGGGGGCCCCATGAGTTGTCAGTCCGCCCCTGTATGAACACTGATCTTAACTGAGGCAAGTAAGGCCTGCAGTTCTTTAGATGTTGCTCTGGGTTCTTTTATGACCTCCTGAATGAGTCGTCATTGTGCTCTTGGAATAATTTTGGGAAAGGTTCACCACTGTTCCAAGTTTTCTCCATTTGTGGATAATGGCTCTCACCATGCTTCTGTATCCAACATGAACAAAACTGTTTTGGTTTTAAGACATAGCATATGAACCAGAGAGCATAAACTATAGCTTGGTTTTATATCAAGCAATTATAGTAAAAGACACACAACAGATATCTTTGTTTAGAGCATGAAATCTGGTTTTAACCACCTGCCCTCCAGAGGATTTACCCCCCTTCCTGACCAGACCATTTTTTGCAATCCATAAAATAAGATAATTTGAGTGAGTGCACAAAACAAGAACGCTGCTAGCATAGAAGGATAAACCCCTTAATAGTCAAATAAATCATAAGACAAATATGCAGCGCTAACAGTAAAGTGACTATGTGCATAGAGCGTAAGAAAAAAACTGCACAACAATAGTGAAATCCAAAACAATTGTCAACAAAGTGACAAGTGCAAATGTGAATGGATGAACATACATCAATAAATAAAGTGACAATGATGAAAGTGAACAGCTATTAACCATATAAAA